TGCACTAGCAATCATTCCACAGGACAAATTGATAAAGAAGCTTAACATCATTTAAGAATCATGGAGAGAGCCAGCTGAATGGCTCTCAATGCCTATTTCCTATCTTCCAATTGTAATATTATAGTGATAAATCTAGACTCCTACTAAGTTGCATCGTACCACTATGTAAGACATCAATGCAGAGTCCGTAAGCGATAGGTACCGGGGGAAAAAAGAGAGAGCGATCCTGCTACAAAGTCGACAAAGTAGTGGAGAACATTGCAAGGGATCTCTTAGTCACCGATGATGAGATCCATATCGAACAACACATCATTTGGGTCCCTCGAGTAGATCTTATCACCAAGCCAATTCATTTCTCGCTTTCAATGCCGACTCAAGTCCTGAGCGTGACGATAATAGATGATTTAAGGCATTGCGCCGGCACGCAGAAAGCTACACCTGATTCGGTCAGAAAACCTGATAAGAAGTTCTGTCAAGATTGCTCACCGTGGGCGCGCGAAAAGCGGCTATCTAAGTGCAGACGAGAACGCCGGCTTTACGTTGCATTACGAAGCAATACCGAATACGCTATGACCAAAGCGTAAGCGATGATTGCATAACGTTATCGGATCGACATCCTAATCAGAAATTCGCATCCAAACGGGTATTAGCGAGTATTTAGGCCAGCTCCTTGCATATAACGACTGTGCACCCACGTGTTAATGTTGACCCCACACAAGAGGGAAGTCCGGACAATGAGTAACGAGCAGGCATTCCGCCAGGGACAACACCGGGGAGCTGAAGGCATTCAGACAAGCCAACGCGCCAACATTGAGACAATGGAGACTGTTAAATATGAGTTCTAGAAATCATCTGTGACGGGACGGGCCGATTGATTCCAATGTCGACTCCGGCTCGTCGGGACGTGGGGGAACACAAGGTGTACAGCGGTCAATCGTGCCATTTCATAACTAGCGGTACGTTTAGTCTCCCTGTTTGGAGATAGTCTTGTGGAGACTGCAGACCGCCATGGAATTGGCCTGATATGCTTGCTTGGGTCCTTCGTCCTCCCCGCTCTTGTTCAGGGAGGGGAAGGCTTCCGGCTTTTCTGATGTTCAAATAAACGGGTTCTCGTCCCAGAATCTTCGATGAGCAGTGTGCGGCAAGAAAATGGAGGGATATAAGTCAGTCATCCAACAGGAGATTAAGTCGCCGTCCATCACGACACTATCGCTTGTCTTTCTAGTGGTGGTTGTCGTGATCGGCAGGAAAGTCTTCCAGGCACGGCGTCAGCAAGCTCTTCCTCCTGGTCCTCCGCGATTACCGGTCATTGGCAATCTTCACAATGCCCCAAAGGAGAATGAGTTCCTTCAGTGGCACTCGTGGAGCAAGGCCCTGGGGCCTGTCATATCCATGGACTTCGCAGGCCAGCCGCTGGTCATCCTCAACAACGCCCAATCCGCTCACGAATTGTTGAACAAGCGTGCCGCTAACTACAGTGGACGCCCACGTTCAGTAATGTCTGAGTTGATGACAAAGGCACCTGAAGGAGAATCTACCAGATTTATTCTACTACGACCTTATGACGCCACATTCCGTCTACACAAACGTGTGCTCTCTGCTGTAGAAGGCACCACAGTCGAACATCGCTATCACAAATTGCAAGAACTTGAGTCCATCCAATTCATGCGAGACCTTCTTTCAGATGTCAAAAGCGGCGTTGCAATTGATGACAAGAGAATGCTGCTTCATCTGCAACGCGTCCAGGCTAGCCTACTCCTTGGTCTCTCTTACGGATATCGAATTCCTACAACGGACGACCCTGTCATGAAGAGGACGCTCGAGATCCACACTGAATTAAATGATATGGTCACGGCGACTCATCTTGTCGACATCGTGCCCGCTCTCAAGAGTTTACCCTCCTGGTTATCACCTTGGAAACGTGCCGCACACAAGTTCTTCGACATCGAGGCGGACCTCCATGTCCGGAACTTTGAAGCTGCAAAGTCAGCTCCTGGATGGAACATGGCGAAGAAGATTCTGGCGAGCTCTGCGGCAGAAGGGATGAGTGAATTCGATGTGGCATATGCACTCGGCGGAAATAGTGAAGGCGGCTTGGAAACAACCCCACGAGGGCTGATGTGGCTGTTCATTGCGGCTCTCGCAGCAAAAGGACAAGAAACCGATTTTGTGAAACGTGCTCAGGAGTCGCTTGATGCAGTGGTTGGACGGGAGCGTTTCCCAACCTTTGCGGATCGGTCGAAGTTACCATATATCGACGCTATCATGCTCGAGCTGCTCCGATGGAGGCCAGTAGCGCCGACGGGTGTACCTCATACAGCAGAAGGTGAAGACACTTACGATGGGTTCCGGATTCCCGCTGGGTCATTTGTTATTGCCAATTCTTGGGCTATTGCCCGCGACGAGAGTGTTTTTGGGGAGAAGGTAGAAGATTTCGTACCAGAGCGATGGCTTAAATTTGATCAAGTCAATGAGAAAGGCAGAAATTGGAGTAAGGCATCAATTCGGCGAGAACTCCCTACGCCAGCATTTGGTTATGGTCGCAGAGTGTGTATTGGAAGGCATGTGGCAGAGGATGGGATCTGGATACAGGTTGCACGACTGCTGTGGGCTTTCAACATCGAAAAGATGTCAAAGGAACTACCGGTGGATACAATGGAAATGAGAACACACGGCTTTACAATAAATCCGGGTCCTTTCAAGATGATCCTTACACCGAGGGACTCGTTGGTTCAGGACGTTATTTCCCGGGAATGGGATATGGCCGACAAGGATATCCCCACAGTTCTTGGAGGAATGGATAATGAGTGATAAGTATTAGCATGATGCTATAAGATCACTGGTTTAAGGGGAACAACTCAATATGAACGACTGAAGCATTCCATAATTAATGAGATCGCTAGACTGATAAGCTATCAACTATGAAGATCAATGGAGATGAAACTTGGGAGCGCTTTTCTTCAATTCCCTTTTTAATTTCGTATGAATCAAGCTCTATTTGATTTGGAATTGAATTTCCAACCTGGCTGGAAGACCTCTGACCTCTCCACGTATTCACCAACTCTCGCCATTTGATCAGCCATGTTCGTTTAGCATCAATTCTTTTATAGCAATTCATGCCAAAAAAAAAAAGTCGCAAAGGTTATATTAATGGTAGAATAATGACGATATCGTCTTTCTTGTTGGAAAACCTATGTGGTCCTTCCGATCAATTTGACTGCCGGTCGAAGTCCTTTAGATTGCTTAGCGCTGCGCAGTCGTCCTTCGTTCGAATCTTCGGCTGTAGTCAACGCTCGCTTGAGAGCATAGCATTCTTTTCTTGGCTCCTTACTTTCAGGTGTCTGCGCATTCTGCATGAACTTCCACTCGCATTGGCGTTTCGCTCGAATCCCCTCATGTTGGTGTTTGATGCTTTCCTACTTTGATCTCTCAACGCAAGATAGGGGAATAGAGTCCTGGATAAGATATTCATGCGCATGATAAGACCGGTACCGTTCATTCAGTCGAGGAATGTCGGCTAAACGAGTTTCGAGATGCCAAAGTCGCGACTTTTCATGGTCCCATAGTGGGCCGTGTAGAGTAATAGTCAATATCTCGATGTCTTCAAAACCACGTGCCTCGTACATGGTGCAGACATCCCACACCTTCTCCTGGCTGCTCGTTGCTGACATGAAAGGACTCGGGTCACGACATTGCCAATTTAGATGGCGCTGCAGCTGATTCTGAAAGAAGAGGGGACTGACTTTCACAAGTCCATGCTCCCGAGCTTGACGCCGTTGTTTGCGCTTGCCTTGTGGACCGCACGATATAGCTTTTTCGGACGCAAGGCTCTTCCACACGTCTTGATTGGCAAAGAAATTGCTTTTAGGGCTTTTCCCTTCACGAATCCACCATACTTGATGTTAACAATATCAACATCCTCCAGCATTCGTGGCTCGTTTTTCTGAAGGTGATCCAGCAACCATGACTTCATCCAAATTCGATAGCGCTTGTGAATTTCTGCCTTGCTTTGCACGACCCATGCATCAACACCTTGGTTGTAGCGTTGCTGAGAAGTAGCCCCTTCCCACAGTGCGATCTTGACTGTCTCCACGGGAACCTCCAAGGTAGCCATATCTGACAACGATATTGCTCGAGATGAAAATGTAATACCACAGGAATTATTGTAGGATGAGAGTGGGTTGAAATAGGGTGAGAGGTTTGTATATCCCCCGCGTTGCAGATATTGGGTGAAGGGTGAAAGGATGCTAAATTTTGGTGTTTGGGAAGGAACGGAAGGGAGTCTTTCGCTGCTTTCTCGTGATTTATTCTCGTCTGTATTTATTGAAAAATATTCGTCTAAGTTGGATTATTGATTAGAGTCAGTAACCGTCATGGGCGAAAACCTGGAGAAGGAGTCAGAACAGTCAATTACCCCAAATATTAGGGACTGGTATCTGAGCGCCCCAAAGACTGGCAAATGCGGATTCTCAATGAAGATGTAAAACGTAGGCTCTAAAGTATTGAGAAAATATTGATAGTATCAGTTTTGTATTTTCTTGTGTTTTCGTAATTAAGAGCGTGAGAATAAGAAGCATGAGGATATGGCCGCGCTATCTCATGCTAAGGTCATTACTCCGAGCATAACTTCCAAATGTGTATCTGCTTGCTGACACTACAGGAATGGGACTCTAACCCCCACCACTTCGGGGCTTCTGATAGACCTTTTGATCTATCTCGTTGGCTAGAGTTCGGATTAGCCTGGAGGGCTCGAACACATCATAAAGAAAATTCCATAGTCACTGCAGGTCAGGTCAAAGATCCTCGAAAACTGATATAAGCCATAAATTTCATAATCCCTGAGGTATTTCGTTCTATACTGAATTCATAATCATTTTAGGGCAACGAAAGGTCGTAAGCCTAGCAGCACCAAAGCAACCCTTGCGCCTGGCACTCGCTTCGCTATGCAATGGACAGAAGGAATCGTCCCGCATAAACACACAACACCTTCCTAAAATATATCACATCCCTTTCTCCACATCTTGTACGTTGATTTCCGGTGCAGACGAAGAGACCAAAATCTCTGGCGTGTTGTCATTTTGCTCATTGTCATCCACCTCCTTCCCGTTTGCCTTCTTGCGACGGAACATTCGTCCGATCTTCGAGAAAAACCTGCCAAGGGCCTTATAGACAACCACCACAGGTCCGCCAACAGTCTTTGCAATTGCCGCAAACCAAGCGTCAGGAAACAGCCGCACAAGAACGGCCATTGGCAAGGAGAGAAGAGCAAGTACAACACAGATAGCCCATTGAGTTCCATCGATGTGTGTGATTGAGAAAGCCCGCCCACCAACGAAAATGATAGCAATCTGAGCGCCAACCATGATACAGTTGATGAAAATGAAGAATTTGTTGCGGTGAACACCTTCAAATATGTTAAACTTGTTATCAAGTCGGCGGTTATTGAACTCGTTGAAGATTTGCATCCAGACGAAGGTATTAAACACCATGGTATCAAGCTCCAAGTGCCCTGTCTCGTCATCCGCTTTGATATGAAAGATCGCTGGTCCCGCGAAATGCAACACGAAAGTCACGATCAATTGGAAAATCGCTTGTCCGATGATCATCTTCCACATGTTGGTGGTAATGAGAGAGGCACGCTTAGGTTGTGGTTGACGGTCGAGGATGCGCTCAGTAGGAGGGTCGGTGGCCAATGCAAGTGCAGCGAATGTATCCATGATGAGATTGACCCACAGGAGTTGGACTGCTGTGAGGACTGACTTCATCTCGGCATTGGATACAGCGGTGACAAAGGCAAGAAGGACTGCGGTGATATTGACAGTGATTTGGAACTAAACCATTATGTTAGAACCATGAGTTACTACAGCATCCTTGATCAGTACTTACCTGGAGGAACTTCTGAACTGCATCGTTGACAGCTCTGCCCCATTTCAGAGCAGTCACTATCGAGGTGAAGTTGTCGTCCATTAGCACAATTGCGGAGGCTTCCTTGGCAACCTCAGTGCCCGAGATTCCCATTGAGAAGCCAACGTCAGCAGCTTTCAGTGCTGGTGCATCGTTTGTTCCATCTCCAGTCACAGCGACGGTCTCTCCCATTGCTTTGAGCTTTGTGACAAGGATTCTCTTGTCTTCGGGTGAAGAGCGAGCTAGAACCTGCAGGCGAGGCAATTTCTCGGTCATTTCCTGGTCAGAGAGTTTGCGGAATGCTGGTCCCTCCATGACGATGCCATCGGTATATATACCGCACTCGGTTGCAATAGCCTGCGCAGTGACAGCATTGTCGCCGGTTACCATGCGTACGACAACGCCAGCATGCTTTGCCTTGGCAACAGCTTCTGGAACACCGGGCCGGACGGGATCTTGAATTCCAACGACTCCCAGAAAGACCAGGTCATTGAGAACAGCGCTGAGGTCAACATGACCATCCTTTGCCTCGACGTTGGATGGCGGCCAAGACGGATAATCTCGATAAACAAGGGCTATGGTTCTCAGGGATTGCTTCGCGTAGTCGTTGATAGTCTGTTTGAGGCTCTGGGCATCAGACTCCGAAAGTGGACTGTCTGTAAGAGTTTCGACATCAACCTTCATTGTCGAAAAGCCCAAAAGAATCTCCGACGCGCCCTTAATGAGAAGCCTATAGCCTCGGCCAGACGGTAACTTAATCACCGCGCCCATACACTTCTTGCCCGAATCAAAAGGCATCATCTGCACCACCTCCTCGTTAGCGCGCGTCTCAGAAAGAGACTGCATGCCGATGTGGTCCTTGGCGAATTGCAGCAAAGCAGTTTCGGTTTTCGATCCGATATACGTAGATACGCCGTTCTCCTCTCCTTCGAAGGCAGTGGAGTTCACGGCCACGGATTGTGTAATCAATTCTTTCGTAGCAGGACCAAAGGATTGTACCATCTGAGTTGGACCAGACTTCTCGGTGTCAGACTTCGAGAAGCTTGCCGTGCCGAAAGTTCCAGCAACCACTGTCATTTTGTTCGTGGTCAATGTTCCGGTCTTGTCCGAACAGATAGTCGTAGCATTTCCCATCGTCTCGCAAGCCCTCAAAACACGGACAAGATTGTTCTCTTTGAGAAGCCGAGTAGTCGCGAAGGCTAATGCCAGAGTCACGGCCAGCGGTAAGCCTTCAGGGACCGCAACAACAATGATCGTAATTGCAACGATGAGTATGTCCATGAAAGCAGATCCCTTTTCTGGTCCAGTACGTTCGTCGCCAGGGAGGTTGGCTAGAAATCTAATGAGAAGAACGAAAAATAACAGACCAGCAGCGCTGGCACCCAGCTTCGCAATTGCGATTGCTAGACGCTCAAGCTTCTTTTGCAATGGCGTAGCCTCCATTTCTGTTCGAACAGACATCATGATCTTGCCGAAGCTGGAGTATGTACCGACAGAGGTAGCAACGAATGTGCCGACACCCTCCAAGACCTTAGCACCAGAGATGATGAAAGGATCGAGTTTCTTGGTGTCATGGCCGGATTCCAACAACCTTGATACCTGCTCTCCTGGTGTCTTCTTGATTGCATCTGATTCTCCAGTTGCCGACGACTCGTCGCACTTCATATCGTGGCCACTGATGTAAACGCCATCAACGGGAACGAGATCGCCCGGTTCAAGATGCAGAACATCTCCGACAAGAATTTCATGAACGTTGATCATGTAGGACTTGCCAGAGCGTATGACTTTGATCTCTCTATCTTCCTTCTTTTGATTCAACTTCATGAAAGCGCGCTCTTTCTGCCAGTCGTTGAGAGACCCAACAGCCGTTACGATGATAATGGCAACGCATATCGCCAAACCTTCAACCCAGTCGACAGGGGCAGGATCACCAGGCTTATGTTCGACGCCAAAGGTCTCATAAAGTCCTAACGCAAGGGATATTATGGCTGCTGCTGTGAGGAGAAGGAGAACTTTGTCATTGTAGGCGTTCCACATCAGCTTCCATATGGGAGTTGCCTTTTTCGCGGGCAATATATTCTTGCCGTAGACTCGTATTCTGTCAACAAAGCTGTCGCCATCCGCTTGATGTGAATAGCTAGGCTGACTGGATGAGGCTGTCGAATACTTGACAGCAGCACGGCCAGTGGCGTCTTCGAAAGTCACTCTCGATCTTGCTGATGATTCGTCTATGCTTAGTCCAGCACTCAAATCCGTTTGCAACCCTTTTTCGATTCCTCGGATTCCACCGAGAGACACATATGCGTGAAGAGATTTCGGATTCAGCAGCTTGTTGAGTTGACCCGGGCTGAAGGCGAAAGGGTTTTGCTCCACTACAAAATCAGCCTCTGTGCCTGGATCTGGTTTCAGAGCATCCTCCGGGTCCTGGCTGAGAATGCTCGTTGCTGTACTTGTTGGGACTGGCGTTAAAAATGGATTTGATATTGTTGATTGTCCAGAAGGTGTGATAGATTCATCTGAATCTCCCCCCGGTGTTTTCGCACGGGTGTCGACCCATAATGTGGGAGGTGCTAGACTATTGTTCGCCATGTTGGATGAGTTGTGGTTTTCATCGGTTGGGAGCAGAGAAAGCTCTCGTTAGTATAGTAGAAGCCTCTATGTAGCCGTATCGCCAGAAGCAGCTCTCCTCACGATGTCTGAAGTCAGGTGGCTCCCCAAGCAGACCGAATCTCATATACCGGTGAATGTTGGGAGGATGGGGCGTTTGAACAGGACTCCGCCTCGACCACGTCGTCACACAGCAGTCTCCCGATCAGCTTTTCCGCATCAGCGCCCAGAGACTGCGCCTTCCGGATGTGGTGGAGAATATCGTTGGTGTATCCTTGAAGCACGACTCAAGATCGGGAGCTGTCCGCCCGGTACTGAGGAATTTGCACCAGCATCAACAACGTCTTCAGACTTCCCAAGGCAGAGCTTCCTTATCCGGCCCAAATGAATGCACCATCGCCTATTCATTCATTCTGTGCTCGCATGTCTTGGAGGCCTATGAGTAGTTTATTTGCCTTAGTGACGTTTTTTCGGGCCTCCGCCCTTTGCCGAGCGTGGCTGTGCAGAATGCCCAGGGCGGTACAGTTTGCCCACCCAGCTTGTCTATTGCCTCCTGCCTAACCAAGACGCACAACTTGGAGCTTAGAAGATCATCATGTGCCTTTCGCCATTCTCATTTGACCTATCCGTATGTTTTGCCAAGACTCAATAAATCTAATCGCTCACTCTCACATAGTGAGGGCGCGAAATGCACCGTTACAGAACATTGGCAAAGAACATTTTGAGGCAGTGCAAACTCTAAATGCTTGTAGGAATTCCTCAAGCATCTAAAAGGTGGAGTTCGCGCAATCGGCCAAGGTTGATAATTCCTCACCATCTTCTCGGCCATGATGATAAGACATGAGAAAGGCCTCCGTGCCAAGACCCCCGATCGGCGGACCAACATGCCGGGTTTGTTCTTCAACCCGCATCACCGACACAACACAGATAGCGAAACACTTACCGCTCGTCAGAATCCAAAATACGCGCTCTCGGCTTGGTGAATTTTGCAATCAGCCTTTCTATTCAATTAAACTCGCAATCTGAGGGGCTGTTGACAAGGCGCAGGATACTTATGACTTGGCGCTGGAAAAGAGGCCTCCCAGCCTTGTCTTACACAATTTCGAGCACTCCACAACCGTGCAGCGAGTTTTAGATGACGCCGCCAATTGTTCGGGTAAATCCAAAGCTTTCTTTGACGTGCTCAGTAAACACAAAAGTGAGATAGGCCATCATGCCCAGTTTAGTGGCAAGCCTTGCGTGGAAGGTGGCCAGGACGCCGAGCGTGGCGCAGTCCAACCTAGCGGTTATACACTCCAGGTCCGATAGTAGATCCCGATAAATGACTCGGTCCCACGAGCTTAATTTACATCATGATGCAGACCTCCCCAGACATAGCAAAATAGAATCGCGCCGTAGATTAAGAGAATCCCATCATGGGGAAAGTTGCGGGGAGAATTCTTCGTGACCCCGAAAGCCACAAGCCATTTCTTCTCCTATCTAATTGGAAATCTTGAAAAAATACCTTGTATATATTCCAAAAGCAAGACTAGGCGAGCAATTGGATCGTGTCTTCTGGTTCGAAATTCCAAGAAGTTGTTCCAGACGCAGGACAACTTCTCTTCGAAATTATTGCTGATCCGGAAATGGATATACCACAGTGCCCGAGGCTAAGAGATTAAGGAGAGCGAATGAGTTGTCATTGCAAGCAGGTTCGTTATCTCTGAAGATCTCCTTCAGAAAGTTCTCACCTGCATTCAATCTCCCGTGGTTGTCGGGTTACCATAGTATTGAATGAGAATGAGCCAACTTCAAAGGAGGGGCTGTGGTGCTTCGTCAAAATGTTGTCGTTGAGTTGGTCTACCTTGCTTTCAAGACGACCAGCCAATCATCGATGAAAATTGAGTTGGTCGCTTGCGTCCTTCCTCCCGCAAGTAGGTCTCCTGTTGCAATACGGGCATGCTGTGCCGCACCCGCGCGTTGTCCAGGCTGCCAAGTATATCTTATTTCCTAAATATCCTCAAGCTCATGATTTCGTGATCTGAAGCCTAAGTGTGGAAACGCAATTGAGACACTTTGAACACATACATTTGACATCAATCCGAGAGTGTCATTTCTTCGTGCAACGGCACCGGCACTTGATCCGAAGTTTCTTGCCACAATGGACCAGCAAGAAGCTAATCGTGTTCACCTACGACCGCGAAGAGGACAGCACCAGTTTTGGCAGCTTTGGATGCGAATTCCATCCGGTATATATGCACTTCTTGTTCTTATATATTTCAGCTATTATATTGGCCGTTGGAACGGTGCCATCGACACATGGAATGGGGGCCGTCATGATGCCGGCAGTGAAGCGGCCGGCACCCTCTCCGCAGTATGTTATCTCACCACTATTGCAACTCAACCCAGTACGAAATCGCGACTAATCGGTTTAAAGGCCATAGTGTCATTCCTTATGTCTTGCTGGGAGTTGTATCAGTACATGGGTAAGCGGCGGGAAAATCCACTGAGTGGGCGAATCGTCTGCCTGGATGTCGTGGTCATTGCCATAGCCGCGTGGGGTTTTGTTGCACTTCTTTTCGCCAACTACGATCAGGTTGCACCCTGGCCGCCGGTGCCCGACAGGCCCTGGATAGGAGATCAAGCGCTTGCAACTTGGTTGGCTATAGGGCTTTTGTATGTGCACAACGGACCGGCCTGAAGTACATAGCTAACGGTGCTGTAGCTCTATGCACGCACTACTCAGCATAATGGGCTGCTTTGGTTGCTGCGGTGGGCAGGCCAGCCCACCAAAGGTTCCAAAACCCGCGAGAACCCAAACAACTCCAGTTGTTCCACCTGTAAATGAGACGGACACTAGCGAAGCGCAGCCGCCCCCTTCATATCAGCAATTCGAGCTTGAGGATGTACAACTTCAGGAGACAAGCCATAAAGAACCACCCCCTCAGTACCCAGGTCCAAGCACCGGCCAAAGCTCTACTAATCATCGGGAGACATAATCTTGCGAGCTGTAATGATCTTTACTGTCTAATCCCAATCTTAATGTTTAATCACTGAGACAAAGTCTTCCAGTGAAGATTATTAGTTATTTGATATTTGATGTTTCCACAGCAAAAGTCTCCAGAGGGCGATAATAACATATACGGCAAGCTTGATACATATGACATTTTCCGTCACAATAATCAGTATCACATGGCCTCGGGAATCATTGTCTATGAATGAAAGCGAAGAGCGGCCAGATGTACCCTATGATATTAGGATTGAAAGCGGGAAGAGAGGAGAGAGAGCAGACAGGGGGGAGAGTGTCTCTCATATATATTCATTAATGATACAAGACCAAGCCTTCTAGGCGCTCGAATATGAAGAAGTGCTGCTAAACCGGCAACGGATTTCCGCTCCCTTTACAAGTAACAAAACTCTTATAGAAGTAATGTCACATTGACTACACGCGGTTCGACCGTTGTACGGTAGCTTCATTAAAAGATGAAAATTCTCACTGTTTTCAGTGGCTGGAACAGATTCTCGTAGCAAAAAGTTGGTTTTGATTTGGCGCCAGATGAAATTCCAAAGCGAGTCAGTCTCATTTTGTCGCTATAGTTGCTTGAAACTAGGTGCAGGAGCAGCAGTTTGATCATTTTCGTACTAAATGCCATGAGCCCAACTCCACCTTAGCCTAACCGTGTTTCACCAGCCAGTTCCCCTTTCCATTAACATTACCCAGTCATTTCCTCATTAGCCTCCAAGACCAAGGCGCACATTCTTTAGTGGCACTTGGAGTTACCGGGATTGAGTGCGCGGAGTCCATAGTAAGCATTGGAGGTGTCAATGGTGACCTCATGGTTAAGAGTGCAGCCGCAGACATCGTTGACCTTGTTGACAACATCCCAAGCGGTGTCATCGGAGCTCTTGCAAGAGGAAGCATACGGGGCGACAGCGTACAGAATGTCGTACTTCACGGCGTACCACTTGATGAAGTCCGGTGCGTAGTTCCAGGCGCAGCAAAAGCCGAAAGCCTCTTTGGGGCAATGCTGTACAAGGTATTAGCCAGGCTATTGGATATACAATGTGATGATATAATATACCTTGCCGGAGGAGCCATCGCGAGCGTTCAGGAAGCCGCGGAAGCAGTTGTTGCGAGTGCAGTGAGTCTCGCATGGAGGAGCAGTAAAGGGTGCGGTGCAAATGGAACCCTTGTACGGGTCCTTCATCTCGACGGTACGAGCAGCGTGGATAAGAGATCGCTTCTCAACAGCATCTCCGGTCTGAGTTTCAGCACCGGCCAGGACCTGGTCCCAGTATGCCTGGGCTGCTGCGGTGTCGCCCTCGGGGGCATCATCTTGGGCAATGACACCCACAAAAGCGGCAGCGATGAGGAGGAGGTTCTTGAAGGCAACCATTTTGATCTTGAAAAGAAATTGAGGTTCTCGAAGATGATTTTGAGTGCAGTTGGGAGATGTCAGGTGAACTTGTTGGATGATGCTAAACAACCACCAGATTTCGTCATGGGAACATGGTCCATTTTATATTCAACGAGTACAAGAGGACTTTCACAATAGGTTGAAAAGTTCGGAGAAAGCCGCACGCCCGGCCAAAAATCCACAAAGCCTCTCTTCTATCCCTTGCGCGTAGATGCTCGAAAAACAACTTTTGAACTGATCTCTCACTCATGCCAAGACGGTCTGGAAGGAAGTCGCCGGCAAGTAGTGTCTAGGGAAGCCTAAAAGCCATGGTCTCTCCAATCACGATCTCCACAATTAGCATGTTGCCCAACCTTGACACCTAAAAAGGCTGTGCCTAGAAGTCCAATGTCTGTGAAGTGGTAGTCAGCACGGACGAGAAAAGCAGGGACCTCGAAGGTAGGCACCAGTAACTATCGAGTGCCCAAACGAGTTGAATGGGGATAGGGCTGCGGCTGACTATGGAGATGAGGTGAGGAAATCCTTAGGGAGAGAAGACTATCGATTACCCGCATAGCCCTAAGTGTCCAGCGCCAGGCTAAGTGGCCTGTCTTCGCAGCTTGAGCACGCCCTGCCCAATGGGTAACTTAAAGGCTGAATAGCCTCTTCATAGCCATATGAAGAGCTCAGAGCAAGATTTACGTAAATATCGACAGGAGGCGGCGGCTCTTAGCAGGAGAACATGGCTGACTGGCGTTGTAGCTCGTGTTTTCCGGTCAAGCTTGCAGCTGCGAGAATCCATGCTTGATGCGTGGACAAGCCGGATTGGTGACCGGGGGATCCTTCTCAGCTTACTTTTTGCAAAATGGTCGTTGAGTAGCTCGAGCTTCCAGGGGCGTTGAGGCTGAGGCTAAAATTAGGCCTTGTGACGTTCCAACCCCAAATTGCAGCATGCAAACCCAGTTCCGGGGCACTTCAGATCGCGGGGTAAACCAATAGATTCATGCTCCAATGCTTCTGAAGTAATCAAATTACGTCGTATTTAAAAGCCACAACGCCGAAGTCATGCAGACGCCGTGACTTTGATCTGACTGAGACCAAAGAAAACTGGTGACGAAACTCGTGGCTTCAGCAGCTTCTGAATATGGCTGAGTATTTCATCTTTGAGCCGCGTGCAAACCAGAGGCAGCTCAATATCAAGCCGGCAGTCGCACCAAATCCCCTAGCTCCCACCATCTCAGACCTATCAGCCGCATTGGCCGACAGCCGATAATTCGTGACTAGTCGTGATTCAGGCACACGTCTAACCCGTGATCAGAGACCCGAGAACACGCGGCCGCTGTGCGCAAAATACAGTGGGAGGTATTGGCCAACGAATGCTGAAAGCCAGCGCAGCGCACATCGCCTACAGGTCAGATTGGTCCCAGCTCAACCGGCCCAGTGTCCTAAGACACGGCCTTGTCGCGATCTGGGAGCTGTTGGCGAGAAATTTGGTGCCTGGTACGCCTGCCAAGATACTAGCTTCACGAACTAGGTCCGCGAAAAAGCATCGCACTCCAATTTGGAATTCTGTGGCGGACGTCTGGGTGCGTGCGTCCTGCATGGCTTAACCGCCGCTTCAATATAAAAGCAAGCCAGTAGAAATAGTGCAAATAACAATGCAGCAATGTCTCAATGCCTGTAGAAAGTGCTGTTCGGGTACGTCCGGCGTTACACTTAAACGACGCGATTCCGAGTTTTGGTTTAAATGAAAGCAAGACAGAATTACCGCGGCGTGTCGTGAGCACAATTTCAATAATTTGCGACTTTATTATTGATAGGAACGCCAAGCGATTTATTCATTGGAGAAACGGTAGAATATGCCGTTCGACGCCATGGTACCCGCCTCTCAAAGAGAAGGTACAGCTAGTCAATAAATCATACAGCAAGCTCCACCGCAGGCGCGGGACTAGGAGCAATATTTAACTTGCAGCTTCAAGCTGTGGTCAGTGCAACAAGAGTAACGCTAGGATCTCCGAGAGCCTCAGGACATTTCAGCTCCATCTATTTGGTTCTAGAACTGGCCTGCGCAGTAATCCCGCTTTTGAGTGCTCCACAAACAAACTCCTTATGCTGAGCTGGTCTGGTGTCCGAAGCGGCGGTAATGTGGTCACTACTATTTACAAGAACTGAATTTGATATGTGTAAGACATCTAGGGCGTCACTAGCCACCAGCCAGTCGCCTTCCGACAATACAAGGCTACAGCGAAGGGAAGAGAACTGAGGGGTCACTGGCGTCTCGTGCTGCTGCTACTGAGACCCTTGAAGATTCGGAGATGCCGGCCTAGTCGGTAGCGAGTAGAACGCCTGCAGCAAGCTCGGTAGAATAGAATCATTTCGTGCGGTACGTTCGTCCTGAGGTGATTGACTATATCTCGCTAATGTGTATGAACCTCGAGTATGCTGAGTTGAGGCCCTGGTCTTACCAATGCAAACTATCCGACGACTTACTTGTGATCAGTTGCTTCATTTCACTCGCTCCATTAAACTGTTGCCACTGATAATAAAAGAGTGACTTTCGTTTGCAATCTCAGTACGTTACCACGCCCAGGAGCCCCCCTTGACGTGTGCCGTATGACATCTTGATTGAGTGTCGGTCCGCAGTAGGCACTGCTGCATGGTTACAATGCGGGTTCTTTACAAGGTTTCAGGGAATGCAAAGACCGTACTGAACAACGCCCATTGGTTCTCAACAGCACAATATGTAAGGACAGAATGAAGGATGAGGGCAGTGGTTGTTCTACGAATCTAATGTCCTACACAAGCCATCGAGATAACGCAATGCATGTCTCTTTCTAAGAAAGGTAGCATTTATCTAGACAAACAATAAGACTTCTTTTCTCGTATATCGTTGAGTCGGCAAGATAATCAGCTGCAGATACGAAGAAACTGGAAAGGCTCTGCTATCTCTTGAGATTTATGGGTGGGTAAGTAGGCGGATATGCTCATCCAGGGGCTCATGCCCAGATGAGGTGGCCCGTGCGTGCTTTGTTGCCTGCCGGTGCCTGCCGGTCAGGTTCGGCAAGCTGTTGTACCAGGGTTTATCTAACTCTATCCTGACATCACCCAACGATAGGCGGCAGGCGCACCAGCGTATCACGTCTTATCAGTCGCTGCTTCCGTCGTCTAAGCTCTGTTCTAACTCTGGACAACCTCTGAACTTTTCGACCCACTGCAACCACTCCGAATCTGCAACAAATGGAAGACGCATCGATGATTATCCGAATAGCCCGTCTTTACTAAGCAGTGCTGCTCGTTGGGGGGTGAAAGGTGGAAGAAGCAAACAAAAGATCACAGACAGACACAGCTATGGCGACCTCACCAAGCGCAGCCTCGTCATCGCCGGCGGACTCGCGCCCGGCTTCCCTCCATACCGGCAACAGCCCCGATCCCAGCCCCGATCCCAGCCCCGAAGATGTTGCCGCATCCATTCCCGTCGAAACCCTTGTCGAGCACCTCCTCGCGGCGAAGCGCTCCCTCTCGTCGATGACCCTTGTCCTCCATGCGAATGACCTGTCGACACATGCCCGCCAGCTCCACGAAGAATCCGTCATCCTTGGCGCCCAGACAGCCTTCCTCCGGACAGGCATCAATGAGCAGGTCATACTGCTGAAGCGTGTGCGGAAGAGCATGTCGAGAACATATGACAGCGGCAAGAGGGAGTTTAAACACTTGATTCGCACTCTTGATTCCGCCAATGGCAAGCTCGAGAAGATGATGGAACAGCTGCGTAGCACCATCGTCGAGGCGGTTTTCAGGCCCGAAGGAGAAGAACCCAGGAATCTCATGGACTTTGTAGATGAGAAAAGTGTCGATGTCATGAGGAATGCACTGAAGGAGAGCATTGGTGAACTACAGGTGGGCCATGCGCAGACATCCTGGCTTTCGCTGGACAACGCAAGCTGACAATTTACATTTCACAGTCCGCTCAGACTTCATATGATGGCGACCTGCTCCGATTCGACAATGACCTACGAACACTTAGCAAAGCCATGTCCTCTGCTCCCTCGTCGTCCCCCTCAGACTCCGCTGCATATCAACCCATCCCATACCTGCTCTCGTCCCTCCTAGACCACTCCCGGGCAATGGCAGAACATCTCACCTCTTTGACGAGGCATTTTGACATGTGCGTTACAGCTGTGCGCATCACAGAGGGAGGCGCTGCCCTCGCGCGTCGCAAGGCTGCTGAGGTCACTGCCTCACAGGAAGGAGGCGACCCCGTCTCCATTTCCGGTGTCATTGCTGAGCAGGAGTCCAATGTTGCCGACCTCGACCCAATATCGTCACAAGAACGGGATGAGATCTTACAAGTCGTCATGCAGGATGCTCCAGAGGTGGATGAGGTGGTGGCCGAGATCAACGCAGTTCTTCACGAAATGGAAACCGATTTTGCCTCGCTCAAAGAGCAAGCCGACCGGATCAAGGTATCGTACATCACGACTACACAAGCGTTCCATGTTCTTGAAGACATCGGTTCTCGTTTGCAGAGCTACGTCGCAGCTGAGACGGAGTACATTGATCGCTGGGAGGACGAGAAGCAGGTCATCTTTGGCAAGCTAGAAGAGATGGATGGACTGCGAGAATTCTACGAGGGATACCTCAGTGCCTACGAAAGCTTGCATCTCGAAAAGGAGCGTAGACGTTCAGTGGAGGAGAAGATTTTCAGCATTTTCAAGAAAGCTCAAGAGAATGTACACAAATTAGTAGATGCAGACTGGAAGGAGAGGGAGATGTTTCGGCAGGAGGTCGGTGAGTTCCTCCCAACTGATCTATGGGTTGGCATGAGTGGGCCGCTTCAAATGTGGGACATTGTTCCGGCTCAGCCAAAGGATGATCGCGTTGCCAAGGAAGATGGCAATGAGGGAGGTAGGAGCACCCCAGCTGTGAAGAGGAGTTTTGGGGGGACCGGCCGGCAACAGGCAAACAGAAGCTCTCGCGAGTGATCATCTAGGTTGGCATTTGGGCATTGCGTGTTTCTTTTTGGATATACCCGCTGAGGCTTCTTGGTATGTGAGGCGCTGGCGTTCATTTGGTCTCTCATTTGGTAGCATCATGCAGTTGCTCAATATCTCATCTCATTGCAACATCAGTCGTATTTGATATTGCACTTTTCCATTTTATTTTTTCAACCATAACTGTACTAGGGAGATCACTTTTTCACTTTTCATAATGACACTAGATTCTCGCGACTCAAAATGATTCCTGAGCTGGCCGCAGGTCAAGCTCGTGCACCCACAGAGTGCTCGGCTGCCTCGCCAGCCACAAGTACGTCTGCCCAACAGCCTCAGCGCTCATCTTCTTGCCCGTACGCGTGTCCTCGCTGTCCTCGTCAATAATGGGCCCATTCGCGATCGTGTGCACGCAATGAACACCAAACTTGCTGTGCTCCTTCGCCACGGCCTGCGCCACCATGCGCGCCCCCGCTCGTCCGGCGCCGTATGCCGCGTAATTTGAGTTCGTACGCATCGCGCCCAGCGTCCCCGTGAAGATGATCGTGCCCTTCTTTGCGCCGCCGGTGTCAGCCAGCAGCGTCTGCCCGCCTTGCTGGGCGTAGATCAGCTTCAGCGCTTCCTGCGCAAAGGTGAACGCCCCCGTCGTGTATGTCTGCAGGCTGTCGCCGAAGGCCTCGGCAGTCTCCTCCAGGAACGGCTTCCTGCTGGCATGCTTGACGTGGTAGATGGCCAGCTTCAAGTTGAGGCCCTGGAAGTCCGGGTGCGCGGCAATGTCCTTGAAGGCTTGTCTGAGGTTGTCCGGCTGTGTATCTGTGGCGAAGGGCTGCAAGATACCGCCATTGGACGACTTCCTCAGGTCCGCCGCGAGAGCCTTAAGATTGTCCGGGTTGCGGGCCAGCAGTGCTACGGCGAGGTTGCCATGTGCCGGATCGGCAAGCACCCGGGCAATCCCCGCCCCGGAAGTCGGGCCAGCGCCGATGATGATTGCTAGACCGTCGGGTGCCATGATTTCGTAGAGGCTACAATCGATTTTTGGATGTGTTTGACTCTTTTCTTTGTGCAGATTTGTCAAGAATCAAGCTAGCGGGGCATCGATTTTGAAGGCATGCCGACGTCATCGATAAATCGGGCATAATTCAGACTTCTCCGAAAACAACAGGGCCATTGACCAATTCGTGAACCTCTATGGAATAGCATGGGCTTCTTTGCCCTGGTGCAGGCTGCAGCCATTAACTGCCGCTATGTCAGGCGTTTTCGGGAGACAGCATCAACCGTACTAAGATATATAAGAGTCCGCTTCCAATAGACGTTCTAGATTAATATGCAGTGTCACCTGTCCATCAAGCCACAGCCTTCTCCTACCACCAACTTTTCATTCTTGCTTTCGGACTTTTCCTTCCAGTGACAATTTGATTCTATAAAATCCTCTACCGCGAGCTGTTGAGGTCCCACCATGATTGACAAATCCTACAGCTACAATCGCCTTGACGGCGCTAGACGCGCCTTTCGGCTTGTGCGCCTCGTCAAGGGATATCATCCCAAACCAGTACATTGCGAGATTTTTCAAGCCCATCTCCATGATATTGAGTGTCTCCCTTACGAGGCACTATCTTATACATGGGGCGGTCAACTCAAGTCCGTCAACATCATTGTCAGCGAAGGAAGCCTGAAAGAAGATGAAGAGAGAAGAAAGTGGTCATGACAACACAGACTATGCTAGTTACCCCTAACGTATTATAAATCATGTAGACACAGACAGCCGGACAATTCTGATTTGGGCAATTTGTAACAAAGATGCCGCGGTAGTCAAAGGTCTCTTGAAAATCCAAGATATCGACGTCAACTATCGTGATAATGGAGGGCTGACGGCACTAGAAATTGCCGCTATTATTGGGATGTGATTGTCATGAAAATCCTCTTAGCTCGCAAGGATGTAAGATTGAATCTCAAACATGACTCACAGGAAACGCCATTGATTTTGACAGCAAAGAACCACGGACTTGCAGTGATAGACACTCTTCTTGAACACCAGAGTATCATAATCGATAGGTCAACTATAGATGGTCGAAAGAAGAAAGTCCTACTAGAATCTTCCCAAGAGTCTTTCGACCTATTCCAGTTCATCGATGCATAGAGCGTTCGACACGAGCGCCGCCAGGTGCCTGGATTTGGGACCTTTTATGCGTAGAACTGTTGTGCAATTCGATCTATGAAGTTCGCTGTTTTTTTTGAAGGTGATTCCTCAACACCGACACCTACTTCCAGTCCCTGTTCCTTCGGAACTTCTGGCATGACAACTTCTGCTTCTTCTAGCTGGACTATGGTCCAACCCTCTTTTATAAGAGGATCGAAGGCATCAGCGAAAATCAGGTAGTCGGCCGTTGTTTTATCATGGTATTTATGGTACAGGTCAGCAAAATGCATCATCCCACAGGCCTCGCCACGCTTCAAGACCTCAGCTGGAGTGTCTTTCTTGCTGCTCTTGCTGTTCTTACTATTCTTCATGCTGTCTCGATATCGTAGAAGAACAGATCCGCAGATACTATCTCGGATGAACGGCTTCCTGTCCATGATCGGAACATCAGTGGCGAAGGCTCCCTGCCTGCACTTGACATAAGCGACGTCGTCGTGAGGCAATCCCTTGTGTCCAGCAAGTTCGGGATGTGCCACTTTTCGGCGAATCTTGGTCAACTCACACCGTCCACCGTATCCATATAAGATCTGTTGACCAGTGACAAAAGACTCCGCTAAATATCTGTCACCGTTTTCTTGGTCTTCCGAGGAAACGAACACCTTGGGAGACACGTTCGATTTCATATCCAGAAACGAATTCTCAAACTTGATGCCATCGTCCAATTGTGCGAGCGCGATATCTGTGTTCTTGATGCGCTCACGAACAAATCCGACTTTCGTGCCCGGCAGACCATTGAGGACGCCTTGCCTGACCTGAAGGATTTCTTTGGTCTTGGCATCTGTCTGACCAACTTGCTCTGAATCAACAAGGCCTTCCCAATTATGCCAGGAACATGTAAGACGTCGTTCTCCATTTCTCTCGATCAGAATCCCAGCCGAGACCGAGCTATGAATGTGACCATTCTTGTCGATAGAACTAATCATGCTTCCTGGGTAGAATTTACCTGACAGAATATTTGTTAGCCTTCAGAAAGAAATAAAGTTGGTGATTTTTAGAACCTACCATCCATGTGCACGTAGTCTGTCTCATCGGCAACCATGCCCTCAAGCTTGGCGGGCTTTGGCTTGATGGCACGAGATCGCCTCGGAGTGTTTGGCAGGGGACCATTGTGATATTCTAGAGAATGAGGGCTTCCTATGAGGTCCATCGGGAGTGTCTCTAGACGTGCGAGGTAGTCTTTGGTCTCCATCTCCGGCAGCTCAATGACCAGAGTATTCCATAGAAGGGATATAGCTTCACAGTCTGTGAATATATGATTGGCGAGGTAAAGGATGACCTCGTCTGGCGGCATCTTCCTCGTTTGCATCATGTCGCAGATGCTATCGTCAAGCGTAATCTCCTCTGCTTGACCATGCTCACCCAAAAAAGGAATGAAGGGCGGATCATTGATGGATCTCCAGACAGCAATTGCTCCTGCAATAGTGAATGGACGTTGATCTTCAGGGGGAGGGTCGCCATGGAATTCAAGTACAATGAAAGGCATCGAATAATCCACCGCGGAGCATCCAAAATTCTCAGCCAGATACTCGAGGAATATTTTCTTGTAATCGCCAACGTTTTTCCATCTCATATCTCCATCAGCCCCGATGAACGAGAATTCTTCAAAGTCGAGCGCAGCTGTTGGGATATCTGGGTCCGAAGGAAGGGTAGTTATTTCGCCAGCGTCAGTTGAGTGGCGACGCTTTGAAGGTGCGATAACTTTGGGATTCTTGACTGGAGAAAACGAAGGTCTTGTTCGTCGCTTCTTGACTGGCGTGAGCGTGAGCTGAGTAATTTGAGGTGCGGCCATGATGCTTGAGTAGATAGACTGTTCGTGCTTGATCACAGTTCGGAATTGCACACCCAAGAAAATGTGCGATGGTGAGGGATCGGCCAGGATCATGACAAGCCGAGGTGGATGATATACAGTTGATAGTACGGATGATGAGGCGAGGATCCATTTAGAAGTGATCGGAGAAAGTTTTCAAAGTTGAATGTAAAGTTTATTGTGTCGAGGAAAGGTGGTCCATGGTCGAGTAAAAGTATGTTGTGGGACGGGGCAGCCTCGTAAAAGTAGCGTGAAGCAAGAGCAGATCACAAAATGTGCCATAGTTAGTTTGGATATTTCAATTCTATTGTCATTCTCCTAAGAAGCTTTTTGTCTGTCCAAAGTTCCATACAGACCTCCTGCCAGAGAAGAGAAAAGGCTATCGTTCCGGATCCCAGCTTTCCCGGTAAGATCATTCGTTATCCATGTATAAAAAAAGAGTCCCCTCCTAATCCTCGTTCCGAAAAAGATAAAAAAGTTAAAGAACCACCATATCTCGTCAATCTGAAAACTCACCCTCCATCAGTCCCTAATCATCGATCTCAAAAGAAGTATAGACATCGCCCAGCCCGAGCTCGAATGGTCGCTCTATCCCCATAGAACCAATAGGGATGGATTGACGACAGTCTAGCTAAGGCGAACGAAGTACGCGCGGAGTAGAAGGAAGGTTCATAAACCATCAAGCCCCTCTAACCCGACTCCAGCGATAATCGTGGTCAAAGATGTCGGCACCAGCATGGCAGTGGGGTTTTGTCCGTTTAAGAAGCCAAAAAGCATTTGAGTTGGGAGAAAACCAGCATCATGTGAAGACGAGTCGCTTGTCCAGCCAACAAAGGAGAGTAGAAGCCAAATGAGCCAAAAACGAATTATGCATTATAAACGGAGAACCCATCCCCTGCCATGTACTGAGCTATTTCCACTCCTATGTACCAGTCCGACAGCCACGCTAGCTAACTGAGCCGGGGCCGGATTCGAGATGAGGACCAAAAAACAACCTTTCAAATCCTGGAACGCCTTTCCTTCTCTTGAAACCCCGTTTCAAAAGAACCATGGCCAAGTAAAAACTTGGCCTTTTTCAGATACCCTATCGTATGCTCGGGCTCACTGCGTCATGCGTAAAATACCAAATTTGTCTGTCCTGAACTCCAAAACATCCGACGAATGATGCTTGACGCAATGTGTGGAAGTGGGAAGAAGACATGGGAAGAATGCCACTAAGAGAATCCTGCGGGGTGAAGGCGCAGGGAGAAATGTACATTGTTGAGTCGGATAAATATGAGGCTCGCTAGGTTATTTATCTTGAATGTAGTGGGGGTCAACATTGTGGAGCTGGTATGGGTATCTCAGAAGGACAACGTCGAAAAAATGCGCGCTTGAAGTCGATAACTCGATCATCGGCGAGTAGACCGGTTCACATGCGGAAATTGCTTAACCCCTAATCGCTGTCGCAGCATGAGCCTCCGTGCCCGAAAATGGGAAACGATCGTACGCAAAATCATTTGGCGACGTACCGGTGAAGGGCTGGAAGCTACCCACCATGGACGCTGGCGAAGGTGAACGTCCAGAGGACTGCCCCGACACCGGTGCCGCGGACCTTGGCTGCCCGCCTGATGGACTACTTGTCCGGTTCATAGGGTTACCGAGGGGTGACGTTGCAGGTGAGGCACCTATTGCCATGAATTGCGTGGCATGCTGGAAATAAGGGTTCGGGTCCTTCGGGTGAAGAGTGTGATGCTGAGCTCCATGTATATGCTGAGGGCCAGAGACACGAGGACTGCTATGAGAACTGGAGTTGGAGCTGTTTGTGGATCGAGTCATGAAGACATCATCAGATCCGTCGAATCGTCCGCCCTTGAGAGTTCCGTCCTTGATCGTGGGGCTTGATTGCTTTGAGCCAAACTGTAAGAAAGTCGTTAGTAAATCGTTGGTCATCCTCGTCAAATCTTCCGGTCATAACGGCCACGGAAACTGGCTCATCCTGGAGTACGTACAAAGCAATATTTGTTGACCAATTCCTCATAGGACGACGAAGCAATGCTCGGTGAAGCAGGTGAGCCTGCACCAGATGCTCCCTGCACGGCTGGTAGCACTTTGTTGACAGCAGCAGCAACAGCAGCTGTCTGGTTTGTCGGGGCGGGCACCTTGGGTGGCTGTGGCCTGGTGATGACCGTGGCAGCTGGTGGAGGAGGAGTCGCCTTCCGTTGGTTAGGCTTCATGTAGAGGCCATCAGGTTTGGTTGGCGAGTCTTTTGCTGACAACATAGCGGCAGACAAAGAAGCACCGAAGTCATATCGGTTGGCGAAAGCTTGGCCGCTGGGCGCGGACAGCCGAGTGGACAGATTATCGCTAGGAATGCTCGTGGATGATTTGACACCCTTCAGCCTTAACGAGGTGGGGCCTTCTCCGAGATAGTCATGAATGGACTGATCGAAGTCAATCTTAGGATTGTCACCAAACTCGTCGAACGCAACGGGCATCGACTTGGGACGACCAACACTAGACGGACTTGCTCGGCGGTTGCTTCGAGGAAGGGCGTTCGCGGGCCTATTGGCAGCGCCGATGACACCCTTCTTGCCGTTCTGAGGCAGCATCTTCTTGCGGAAGTCGACCTGGAAGTTGGTGCCGTTATTGTTGTCCCAATGCTCTTGACCGTTGACATTGTAGCGGATTGCGAAGTACAAGGTCTTGGATTCCAAATTCGCCAGATCGGACAGCTTAATGGTGAAATTAAAGCGATCGTGGCTTGGTCCAGGCTCATTGGAGCGAATCTCGGACATGTACTCTGCAGCAATTTCCGAGGTAGTCTTCCAATAATCGAGCGTGAACCTGCATGTAACGGATTTTTGGAACGCCAGATTGGCCACAGCAACCGATCCTATCAGGCACTTCTGATCCGTGGACAGCCACACCCGTTCCAAACGAACGGGTTGGGCTTTCCGGGCAGGTGTGTCGAGAGGAAAGTTGTTAATAATAATTTCCCACTCGAATGGCGGAGATCGTACGCCCCGCTCATCACCCGGGAAAGGATACTCGTTGTCGCTGTCATAGTTCTCGACGGGCGATGACCCTGCACTGACGGCGAGTGGGCGATCGACCTGGAGGAAATGTCTGACATGCTCAAGATGAGAGTCAAAGTGCACGGCCTTGGAAAAAGTCGGTGTTCCGGGCATACTGGAAGGTCGTCGCCTGGAAGGCGGACGTAAGGCAGGTCGGACGAGCTCGCCCGACTTCTTTCGCACCATCTGGGGTTTCCTCAGAATCTCCTCATCAGTATCTTCCTCCGATGCTGTGAGGGAGTTCTCGGCAGACTTCGTTACTAGAACGTGAGGTTCCGTTACGGATCTTGTGTGAGATATTCTGCGGCTAGGGTGGGCGAGGTCATCTAAAGAACTGGTGCTGAAGCTATGGTGCATCCCTTGTGCAATGGTTGCAGCCTGAGATGGCAAGACGAGAAGGTCACCGGCATCGGGTGCTGCGGGGACCCCTGACTTCGTTGGTGAGCTTTCACGGTGTACGGGAATTTGGCTGATAGCATCGTGCAACTCCTTAAGGTTCTCGATTGTTCGGCCTCTGACCTCCGGCAGATCGTCATCGTCACTAGAAGCAGACGACTCTGGAGGGGAGATGATAGCGCCCTTTGGCATCGACTGGCCGTCCGTGATGGGCGGTGGTGATGCCCGTACGCTTGTGTTCACCATTCCCTTCAAATCCTCCGACGTTCCCTCGGGGCTGATTTGACTAATAGGGCCATTGCCAGCTCCCACCGCCGACGGCGTTCTGCGGTGTTTTGTCAGGTATGAGGCAGATCGGGGTAGAGATGGCCGCGGCGCGCCAGATGAGCCCTGGAATGATGGACGTCGGCTGGCCTCTGGCGACGCGGGAGCTGATGAGGCGGGAGATCTGTGAGAGGGTGGCGTGTAAGGCATTCCCACGGCTGGGTGCCTCACAGGAGGATTGGAACGAAGAGGCTGTCTAGGCAGGAAACGTTTTAAGACAACCGGGAGGCTACACCGTTGTGAAGCAGTGCATGAGGAGATATCGATGCTCGACCTGCAGAAGGAGGGAGCGCTTCAGCTAATCTATAGGTCAAGCGAAAGGCTCTTTGTTAGTTGTTACGCATTTCAAAGTTGGTTGAGAGTCCATGGCAGGTCCGTTATGATGAGGTAGGTAGAGACTGGGAGAGGTGAAGGAGGGGGGGATACGCGAAAAGGAGTCGTAGGGAATTCGGAAGAAGGAGGGTTAGATAAATCTTGCGTGTGGCAATTGTTCGCATGCACGCAAGATTTTTCGGCGATGAGCAAATGAGTGATGAGTCGGCGTTCAAGGCAGAGAAGTGCAGTGAGCAGGATAATTGTCTTTTGACTTACCAATCGAAAAGCAGGAGAGAAGGCGGAAAGCAATCAATGGGAAGAAACTGCAGCGGCAATATTCCAGCAACGAAGCAGGCTCTCGCAGAGATGCGGAGAGGAAGGCAGGGGAGTTGATTGCAACTCGTCTCGATTGTCCTTCGACAAGAGTTCGAGCGCGTTTGGCTTGCTTAGGGCCGGTTGTCCGTCTGGGAGATGACGGAGTAAGCGAGATATTCGAGAGGAAGGTGTCAAGTGGATTTGTCTGGGTGACAAATGCACACTTTTGTCTTCGAGGAGGCTCTCTTTCGGTAGGTTCGGCGGCGGCGACAGCGAGCGAATGCGAGGCTGGCTCGACTCGACGACCTGCACTTCCTTTTCTGAGGCCTGTTTCCTTTTGTTGGATATCCTGTACCTGTCCTGGCCAGTGCTGTCCTTGAGGGTGGCCGTCCGTTCTCGCGGCGATCGGACGCTACTCGTGTCGGGGGGGAGGGAAGATGGGGGAGGAAGGTCCGTCCGTCCTGTATCCTGTTGTTTGACTAATCCGTCTCGACGTCAGCCACGGACGAAGCGGAGGACACACACGCTCTCTCTCTCTTGTCTCTCGACGACGAAGAGGAGGAGGGATCGAGGGTAAATAAGGCAAGCTTGGGTTGGTGGTAGCCCGGCAAAGGAGAGGAATGGGAGAAGTGTGCGGGAGCAGCGGGCTGGCGTGGTTTTGAATGAAGGTGCGCAGCCGCCGCCCACCGTCCACCAGGAATGAAAGCACGGCTGCACCGGTTGGGGCAGGCCAGACAAGAGGAACAAGCCCATACCCTCCACCCACACCCCCCCAAGCAGACCAGGGCCAGGGGCCAAGAACAAGGACAAGGCACTCGAGGGAAGGTACCTACCTGCCTACTGACCGATGCAGACTAACCCACCCTAAGAATTGCATGAGGTGAGGTGAGGCGAGGTGTGGAAGGAGCAATGGAGGGTGTGGCTTTTCGAACTGGCACTTGCGTAATTGACCTTGCACTTGCACTTGCATCAAATGGAAAAGAAGTACCCGATACAGTACGGACGGCACCAATCATGACCAGACAGACGTACCTTTTCGGATATTCCTTTCTTTCGTACTAACCGTGTGAGACACCAGCCGTAATGTGCGATGGCGATGGAGGCAATATGCACGCTGCAGCAAGAACGCTCGCAGAAATTCGCGACAATAGACCGTTATCAAGAGGCGCGATCACGGTAGCACTGCGTCAGGTTGAGGAGGGAAGACATTGGGGAGGGGAGATACGAGACTGATAATAATTCTGTAATAATAACGGATGGGGACGTGCTACTGTAGGTAGAAAAGTACCTGATCATGGAAACAAGCAGGAGCGAGCGAAAGACCTGAGCAGGGAGGCAGGCGAGGCAGGGAAGGAACTTGCAGAGCAGAACAGAGCAGGTGCAGGGGTGCAGGGGGGAGGGGGGGTGTGGGAGGAGTGCACGCAGAGAGCGACCAGGATCTGGGATGCCACGGTACGCTACTGTGCAAGAGTGCGTAGCTGCACAAAGTACTCCGTGCGGCTTGACTAGCGGCTCCTTCTTATTCAGTTCTGTCTCTCCGTTCGCTTCCACTGCCACTGTCAGACTCAAGAAACTCACCCCCAAAAGAGCTCGAGCATTCGGCAACAGCACCTAACGTTAGCCCGGACCAGAGCATGCATGGGTGTGGCATGGTATGGCATGGCCTTACTGCTTCATGACCATGACCGTACGCGCAGCAAGTTGACGTGCGTGACAGGTTCAACATGGCATAGCGTACGATCATCAAGTTTGATTGCATGATGAAGCTCGCTTTTTGTTTGCTTCCATCTCATCGTAGCAGTACCGGTAATCCTGTACTGCACACATACAGCAGCCCAACAAGGTGCGATGTGAAGAGCAGTTACGGTGTCTCCCTGCTCAGGACCGATAGCGGACGGAAGACAGAGATACCGTACTGCCACGGCTCTTCTTAAAGTTACACAAATATATTCCTTGTACCTACCTTTAGGCTCGACCAACACTAAGAGTGAGTGCTTCAGATCTCTCCTTCATTGTGGTACCTAAGCAGTCACATTGAAGAACGACAGTTAGGTAATGTCGGTGTGGTGAGAGTGGCTTGCCTGGTTATTAGGTCTTGAGTGAACGGGCACCGTCCGTTGCCTTGCGCAAAAGCACGCACGTTTCGCATCAGCGAATTTTTTCTTAGATTTTCCCCTACAGCAAAGACGCTGAGTGAGCCAAAAGGGCTAGGTCACAGTACCGTAAGATCTGGAACCGTCCACTCGCCTAGCGCCCTGGTCAACCTAACTTCAATATCGGACTTGTCGAAATTAGGCCTAGCTCTCTCTCTCTCGCGGGTGCCTCTTCCTTTTTTTTTAATGGGCTTCTCACAAAAGTACGACGCACAATTGGGGCTCCACGGGGCGTCAGGGAGCGAGTAATGCAGATTGGACTATTTTAATCTCAAAAAACCAAGAAGACCTAGATATGTAAATAGCTAGGTAGCTCTGAAAGGGAGGGTTTGTTTAGTCAAGGGCTCCACAAGTCGCATCTCTGAACGGTATATATTGGTACTTTAATCATGTAGGTACTGTCAGGTAAGCCGCAAGGAAAAGTCAACAAAACGGTGCCGGTGCCGGGTTCTGATGAGATGAGATTGGGTGGGTGAGCAATCACATCTTACTTGCCGCAAGAGTACCGTACCGGAGGGAATTGCCATAAGCCTACAGGGCAGGCAGGCAGGAGCAATTGGTTGACCTCAGGAAGGCATGGGGGGCTTGCATGGGGGTGCATGTGCAGGTGCGTGTGGCCTGTGCAGCGCTGGGGCACTGTAGTTACAGGGCAAGTTACCTGCTCTCGCCTACCTAGGCACGCTAGGTATTCATTTGTCGTTCGTTCTTGCAGCTGCTGCGAGACATTTGCAAACCATGACGTCGCCGGGGAATTGCTCGCTTGGCCCTTGACGCCCCCGACGTTAAGCAGTCCCAACGCTGCTCCCACTTCTCCGCTGTCTCTCGCTTGACCACGAGGCATAAAGCCACTGAAGCCACACTTTACCAGTCCTCTGATGCTGGTACTCACTAACACGATGACACACGACACACCGTCAGTTCCTTCCGTCTGACTTGTTTTGCCGCTACGATGAATCACCTAGTAGCCCGCTGAATTCCAGTCATACAAGGCAAGAGCGAGCCCGAGAGTGGTGTTAGAAAATTACGGAAAGCGCTGCCACTCGCCAATGGCTTCCTGCCCGTTCTGTCCTGTCACCCTCGTTCCGCCCAATGGATTGCCATACACCCAGCAACAGCATTTCTCACCGCAAAGCGATTGGTCTTTACCTTCCAGGTTGTCTTGACTTGGCTTGTCTTGTCTTGTCTTGCCTGCTTCTCGTTCTTCCATGAAGCCCTACACGATCGCACAAGAAATGTTTACCTTGTTTCCGCCCATCGCTTTCCAGTCACCATGCCGAAATGCCGAGCGAGTGCTGTGCTGGCGTCGCCCATGCTCGCGCTGTTTGTCGCCTGTCTGTGCACGGCTAGCAATCGGCGATGAGAATGAGTAAGAACCAGGCATTGCATCGAAAGCTGGTCTTGAAGTCCGCCAGCAACAAAAGACCAGCGAAATTCAGGCTCCCCATCCATCCAGCGGAGAAGGCACTGAAACAGCACTATGAATCAAGTCAATACACAACAGCCTTCACGCCCTCAGCCACACCGTATGGCTTTCGAGGGAGCTCGGACTGTGCAGATCTGCTCAACGAACAATGTCAGATTCATTTGTATTGATGTGACAGAAAGCCCTTT